TGAGGAAAAACAAACTCTGCACTCTCCAAGAATATAATTGAAAATTACCCCATACCCATGCAGGATAATTACCTTTCAAAACATTTTCCAGTGCTTGACATCATAGTGGTAATTGCTTAATGATATTATAATTTCATTACGTAGGGATTACAATGGCAAAATGATGTAAGTTGGAGGCTTTGAAAATGAAGTTGCAATGAAAACACAACCTTTTATGTAAGTTGAAAGCGCTTATTTCAATGTGAAATTATACATAATCTCACCCAATTCTGCACAAATGTTATTGTTGCTGGTTTTAACATTCATCCACTTAGCGCTTTGGTAGTAAAACCCACAAAACCTGTCGTAGCCCCCATGGTGGCAATGCATGAGGTTCTGTAGTGATATGTATTGGAACAAATGCATTTCTATCGCAGTTATTGCTTCAGTTTGTATGCATTATGTACAAAAACCTCTACTAATGAATTGGATCCACTTTGATTCCTTTGCAGTGGGGTGATAAAGACCCACGGACCATTACAATGGTTATTTTCATCTTGAAAGATTCCTGACTGGTTGGTTGTAAAATGTGTTGAGTTTTCTAATTTAATAGCACCAACTTAAAATTCTATCTTTTTTGTAAAGCACAGGCACAGAATGCACTAAGCAATTATATAGTATATAATTCTTATGCGCCCGAGGTCAGCTCCCCCAGTGTGTTGATGGAGTGAAGACAAGAAATCAAACAGCACATCCCTGAGAAAGTGCGACTCATAATCATCGCTCTCTGTGATATGTGACTTTTAATATTATACCTGATGGAAAACTTTTTGAAACATACATGGTTTTTGGTCTAAGGACTGTTTTGAGTCAAAGATGAATTCATCATTGTGTCCTATGTAAAAAATAGTTGGGGGCTTCTGATTTTATTCAAATCCATTTTTTTTTTACCCTCTCCCAGTAGTTAAAAACAAATAGATTCGGTTTTCAGTAGGACAATAAGGTATAAATGAAAATACCCCTCTCATCCTTTCATGCCTAATCACTGTTTTCCATGAAGATGATTATGATATTTATTGAGTATTCACTGTGTATACTGAGTATTATTAAGGAAACTTATTTAGTCCGTGTTAGAACTATGACAAGTACTATTATTATCCTCACTTTAAATATTGGAAAAGAAGACTTGGACTAGTGAATTTTCTCAATATCCCATAGCAACATTATGGTCAGAAATAGGATCTGGACCAATGGAGTCTAACTCCATTATCTAAATGCCATACTGTCTGCCTCTATGAAGCCTTTCCTTCATGTTTTAAGCTGTATCGATAATTCTGAATCACTAAAAAAAAAGTTCTAGCTTATGGTTTATTATTTTATTATGGTAACTATCATTTATTGAACAACTACTCTGTGCACCATGCTATGCATTACTTAGTATTCCACAAAACCCTATGAAATAGGAAATTGTTGATACCATTTTAGAAACAAGGAGGCCAAGGTCCAGTGAGGTGAACTGACCTCCAGCCAGCCTGCGGTTATTGAGGCAGTAAACAACAGGGCTCCTATTTGTCCTCAGATGTGTGGGGTTCTTGAGCCCCAGGTGCTCTCAGCCCCTCTGCAGTAGCGACTCCCAGTTTAACTCCTCGTCAATCTTCAGTGGCTGTTTTATTTTTCGTGTTTCTGTGTCACAACACAACTAGACTGTGCCCAGCTCAATCCCATAGCAGCACTCAATCTTCTCATTGATAAACTGATTTTGTTCAGTTTTCTGAAGTAGCCCGGATGTTAAAGAGATGACAGATTGGATACCCGAAAGTAAAAGACAGGCACATTCCCCTTTGTTGTCCCGACACGGAGGTCAGTCGTCTTCCACAGGGAACGACCATTTGAAGAACAATCTTCGACCTCTCCCACTTGGAGGCAGAAGGAGGGAGGCAGGGCCTTGAGGGACCACTCTCTTGGGAGCAGAAGAAAATAAAGGAAAGACAGCCTTCCCTCCCTGGTCTCCTGATCTTAATTAGAAACCATGCCAGGTGCCCAGGCCAGCTACCACTACTCACCCAACATGGCGGTGAGCAAAGTCCTGGCGTACTTGAAGGTCATAAACCACCATAGGCAGGGGTCATAGAAGGTCATCAGAGGCCCTAGAGGAATCCATTGGTTCTGTCCCCTGACCGCATGAAGTGTCATCTATAAATCCCTGGAGGAGCAGCTGCCCAGCCCCCACTTGGCCCTCCCTAGAGGACATGTTCCATTTGCTGGTCAGCAACGAATGGTTAGAAAATTCTTTCTTGTGCTCAGCCAAAATCTGGCTTCCCCTGACTTCCACCCTGTGGCCCCAGTGCCTCCTCCTAGGACCCCACAGAATCACTCGCATGCCACCCCTCATCCGTGAAGCCCTAAGGGCCACTGTCACCTCCAGCAGGCTTTCTCCTTCCTGGAGTTAATCAGTCCAGTGCCTTTGTGCTTTCCCAGCGCTTTGCCCTGCCACATGGACTCTCTGATGTTCACCGGCAGTTTCTGAAATATGAGAAATCAAATTCCTTTTATTTCCAAATCTGATATTTTAAAATGTAGGACACTTTTACTTTTTTTTTTTTTTTACTCTTTCCCATGTTGAAATTCCTTTTATGTAATAGCTCCCAATTAAATGTGTTATACCACCCCCTTCACAAAACCATCAAGCATGGTGTTAAAAGACAAACTTAGGTACATTAAATTTTTTAAAGAGTTTATTTTGAGCTGACAACAATTCGTGAATCAGCACCAGGCTGCCAGCAATTAAACTCCTCTCAAAGGGGCCGGGGGAAACTTTTATAAGGTGTTCTCAAATTCAAGACCAAGAAAGTATTTTTGATTGGAAAGCCCCCACTTAGTTTGACAGTTTCCGATTGATTGAGCTTAAATTTTGTTTTGCTTTTTACATCGAATCAGGCTTATTATGTAGGAACCCTAGGCTCTAGATTTATAGCTTCTCAATTTTTTTTAACCAGCGTATACTAAAAAGAACATTGAAATTGACTCTGGGAACCTGGGTCTGTCCCCAGCTCTGCTTCTAATTCACCAGGCAACCTCAGATGAGCTATTTAATTATGCAAACCCTGACCCCCTCATCTATATAATGGGTACAATAAGATCTGCCCATTCCACCAGTTCATGAGGGTCTTTGAGCAAGTGCTTCCCCACCCCTGGAGCACTCAACCATTGAGAGACAAGCAATCAAGACAGATGTCCTTGTTCACCAGTTAAGCTCTGCTTTTAAAAGACTGCAGGCACTGCTCTCAACTCACGAGAGTCAACTGAACGGACATTTCACCTACTTTTTTTTTTTTTTTTTTGATACCAGAGACTGAACCCAGAGACGCTTAACCACTGAGCCACATCCTAGCACTTTTTTTATATTTTATATAGAGACAGGGTCTCAGCTGAGTTGCTGAGGCTGGCTTTGAACTCTCGATCCTCCTGCCTCAGCCTCCCAAGCCTCTGGGATTACAGGCGTGCGCCACTGCGCCCAGCTTCACATGTTTCTTTGCATGCTCCTCGGGAACAACTCCCGTTTGTTCAACTCATTATGTCACCAACATGTAGCTCAGGTTAAATGTTTTGGGATGGTTGCAAGAGGATGGGCAGAGGAGTGGCTGTGGTGTGGTTTCAAACCCTCGCCATCCGGGCACCACGCCCTTGGACCTCACTCCAGTCTGTCAACGTCCTGACAGTGGCCACACGTCCGCTTGGACTGATTGTGGCTGGGTGAGATAGAATCCTACCACCACTCCTTCCCTGACTTACTCTGGGCAGTGACACCTCAGCTCATCGACTTGCATGCACGCTGTCAGGAAAGCCTTGCAATTGAGCTTCTGTTTCTTGCTGAGCCCCCATTCCAAGCCCACTGCCAGCCCTTCCAAAGCTGACCCTGGTGAGATCCAAGCCCAATGCTTGTTTTTGCTTGGTCCTTAACAGCCTGTGCTAATGAAGAGAAGAGTGTTGTCCTAACTGTCCCCTTTACCTGATCCTCTCTGGCTCGGAGGTCAAGACATTGGCCTCTGGACTATTGCACAGAGTCTCTGAATGACATGTCCAAATACCAAAGCACTTAGCACAACATTGGACACAAAAGGGGGTCAGGAAGCATCCTTGTTAAACATTTCTTTAAATATCATGTTATTTATGGAAAACTATTATGACTCAGGCTGTGCAAGTTGTCTCCCAAGCCATTCTAACAGCTGTCACAAGAAAAACAGAGCCAGGCGCTGTGGCACATACTTGTAATCCCAGTGGCTTGGGAGGCTGAGGCAGGAGGATCATGAGTTCAAAGCCAGCCTCAGCAGTGGCGAGGCCCTAAGCAACTCAGTGAGACCCCGTCTCTAAATACAATACAAAATAGACTTGGGGATGTGGCTCAGTGATCAAGTGTCCCTGAGTTTAATCTCTAGTACCTGCCACCCCCACCCCCAAAAAAAAAGAAAAAGAAAAAGAAAAACTAAGCCATGTTTATCTCCCCAGCAAATTTAGACCTTCCTACTGCTGATAAAACTACAGATCACCTGACATGTTGTCTTCTGTATGTATTCTCTGCTTTATGTATCCTCTACTGTAAATGACCTTTATTATTTTAATTCATATTTGGTAGCCTCTTTAGGATGTACGATTGAGGATTGATTCCCTAGTCTGTCATTTAATTTGTGTTGCTCTGCATTTGGTAAAGCTCTGGACCGTGTAGGAGTCTAGTGCTGTGATTAGTAAGTTCTGACTCCTGCCCAAGTTTCCCTGGTGCTCTGGCCTGGCCTTCTTTCCTGACACTGCTTTCCTGGCCCTTCAGGGGAAGCTAGCCCTGCAGTCACTGGGGCCTCCTCTGCCCCTCACTTCCACATCTCCCTTCCAGCCTAACTCTCACCCACCAGAAGAAAATGCCCCAGGAGAGACGGTGGCACCTGCCTCCTGTCCTTCCCCCAGGTGGCACTTGAGCGATTCCGGGTCATTCCAGTGGCTGACATGTCTGTGGTTTCCCTTCCCTGCAGGTGACGAAGACCTGAGTGTGGAAGAAGACGAGGAAGTGCTGACTTTACTATACGACCCATGCCTGAATTGTTACTTTGACCCCCAGACTGGGAAATACTACGAGTTGGTATAGTCCCCCCTTCCAGGGCGGAGAACGGCCACTCCCCGCAGAGCAGGACAGCAGCGGTGGGTCCTTTAAGCAGCACCAGGACTGCAGAATCAAAGGCCCCGAGAGAAATGAATCCATTTTAGAAATAATGTTCAATGGTCAGGAAACCTACGTTCTCTGGGTAGATGGGTGGGATTTTGCAGCTGTGAAGGAATTCATGCGGTGACAAGATAGTCCAACTTTGAATGGGTTCTTATTCATTCTCATCTGACATATAATTTTATGTAAACCAATTAAGAATTATTCATTCAAATTTTTTTGCAGTGTTAACCTGTAAATGATGGCTTGATATACACTACAGAAAATGTATTTGTTACAAGATGCCTGGGTACCTTTTATTTTATGACATATTTGTATTAAAAATAAAAATATGATGATTAAAAAAAACACCTGATAAATTGATCCTTTTTGTTCACCCGACTGTCTTTACCAGAACATTCCTAGGTGAGAGGTATCTTTTCTAAGAGTCTCAAAAGGCAACATGCACCGATCAGAATTTAGGCTCACACATTGCTGGCTGTTTCTATTTCATTGTAGTTTATCGGGCGTTTGCCAAAGATCACAACATTGTTTATCACTTAAGCTGCTTAGCATTGTGCTTTGCTGTTTCTCTTTTTTAATCTTTTACCAATTATGTTTGAATTCTAATAATCTAGCTGCATGGATTCAGGTTTAGCAAGAAGTCACCATCTGCACGCCCAGCACACTTCACCACTCCCGTGATTTGGGCCTGGACAACTCGGGGAGTCTTTCTTTGGTCTTTAAGGTTGTATCCATGGGTCTCTGCTCAGTGAATCACTAGGCAAAAATCGTGTGCTTCCTGCATTCTGGTAGATGGCCTTGAATCGTGTGCCAAGTACATTATTGAGCTCAAAAAAAAAAAATATTGAGCTCAAGGAAGTACTTATTATATTAGCTGGCATATTTTGTTATTTAATAAAGATTTTTAATAAAGAAGAGTACCACTGGAAATGAAAAATTATTGGTGTACAGTTGGATTTAATGGCAGTATTATAATTTCATTTAACGTCGCTTGATAGAGGAAATAAGAGCTCTTCTTTATCATGAGTAGATTTCGGCTCCTGTTCAAAGGATCATGCATTATTTAGAACCATGTTTGTATGTGATAAGCTTTTAATCCGGTTGTTCAGAAAGTATACCTTTGCTATGAATTTCTCTCCACGATCTTCATACTTCCAAAATGAAAATGAATAAATGAGGCTTCACAAAGAATGCAGAATGATAAGAAGAGTAGGAGGTTATCCTGATTATGACCTTGAAGACTGGAGTTGGGGTGGGAAGGCCCTGTTCCTGCTTAAGGTAGTCTCAGGACCATCCTCATAAACAGGGGATTCAGTTAAAAGTTTGTGTTTGTTAAGGCTTGTAGTCACATCAAAAAACACCTGTGAGCTGCATTATGAAAAAAAAAAATGAGGATACAGGACTGCCTCTTGAACCCCAAAACAGAATGCTACAAGGCCTCCAAATGGATTTGAACTGGAACCTCAGAGACTATAGAAAACCCAGTTGGATTCTTAAGTGATAATCCACTGGCAGGCTCTGTCCTAAAACTCAGGATGGCTAAATAAGGAGGCCCCAGAATCATAGGAACCATAGGATCCCTGTAGTAGTATGTTTCTCATGACCATTCATGGTCACCAAAATGACCATGCCACCTATATTCTGGCTTGGGTATCTGATCAGGGAGCAGGAAGCTGGTAGGCCTGACTTGACCATTATCCCCAGGGTGACATGTAATGAGGGTGAGGCAGTCCCTGAAGGAGAAGACAATTTTGTTAACACATGTGTCTGCCAGGCAGAAAAAAAAAAAAAAAAAAAAAACAAGCATCTACTCTGGGAATCTAGAAATGTCTCCAGTGCTCACCTCTGAATCATCTTGCTCCCTCTTCTCTCCTTAGCTCTTCCCCCATAACTTACTTAGTTGCCCAACCCATGCCAGAATACCAAGCCACTCCACTGGGAAATGCATCGACTGGGTGACATTTGCTCACTGGTTATCAAGTTTGGGTACATACTAGAATCTTTTGGGAACTGACACCTAGGTTCTATATCCCCAGAGTCTGATTTGATTGGTCTCAAGTACAGCCTTAAACACCTACCCAGTGTTGTGGTTTGGGTCTGCAATATCCCTCTAAAAGCTCATGTGTTGAAAACATTGTTGCCAATGTGACAGAGTTCAGAGGTGAGGCTCTAGGAGATGATTGGATTATGGGGAGTGTAACCTTCTCACTGGATTAATCCATTTGATGGACTCACAATTCAAAAGGACTACTGGGTATTAACTAAAGGCAGGTGGGTATGATCCAAGGAAGAATCTCCCTCTCTCTCTTTCTCCCTCCCTCTCTTCTCCGTCTGCCCCCCAGTTATATCCCCCCTCCTTCTCCATCATAAGCTGAGCAAGTTGAGCAGCTTTCCTCCACCACACCCTTCCGCCATGATGTTCTGCCTCACCTCAGGCCCAGAACAATGGAGTCAGCCAACCATGGACTGAGACCTCTGAAACCATGAACCAAAATAAACTTTTCCTCCTCTGAATTGTTCATGTCTAGTATTTTGGTCACAGGAATAAAAAGCTGATTAACATACCCAGCAATGGTAATATGTAGTCAAGATAGAGAACTCTTGATCTGATATGGTAAGAGGGTGGTAGGCCCATGGGGAAAAGGCCATATTATCAGCTTTCATTTTCAAGACCTTGATTTCTACTTCTAATCAAATGCTTGCTATTCATGTCTGGAACTGACTATTGCAAATGGACACTTTAAAAATAGATTTGATTCTGTCAGGCCCAGGGGTGCACGGCTATAATTCCAGTGGTTTAGGAGGCTGAGGCAGGAGGACCATGAGTTCAAAGCCAGCCTCAGCAACAGTGAGGCACTAAGCAACTCGGTGAGACCCTGTCTCCAAACAAAATACAAAATGGGAAAGGTAGCAGAATACAACAGTCACTAATATGCCATTATGTAAAAATGTGAGTGTGTAACCGATGTGATTCTGCAATTTGTATTTGGGGTAAAAATGGGAGTTCATAACCCAATTGAGTCAAATGTATGAAAGATGATATATCATGAGCTTTGTAATGTTTTGAACAACCAATAAAAAAAAATACAAAATGGGGCTGGGATGTGTCTCAGTGGTTGAGTGCCCCTGAGTTGTATCTCTGGTACCAAAAAAATAGATTCATCCAATATAGAAATATATCTTAATATAATCTGGAATCAATTTAGGGACTCATTCAAAGTTTCTTATATAATCAGGATGCAATTTACAAAAACTTACAAATGACTTTAAGTCATTGACCTCCAAATTATTAATTAATTACAGAGCCCAATTAATGGGAATTATGTAAAAACAACTGTCAGCAATACATGGCATTTGATCAATGATTTAGTTTCCCTGGCAATTATAAGTTTTCTCTCTGTCCAATTAATTTAATTTTATTTTCTATTAAAGGAAAAGACTGACTTTTGCAAAAATACTCTGCTCTATTGTAATTCTCCATATTTTTACATTGGCTTCATTTAATCAGTTGTTCCAACCACATCTTGATTTTTCTTTTTTTTTTTCACAGTGCAAACTATGTTTAATCACCAAGAACACTGTAGTCACAGAATGTATAACCCAAGGGACAATTAATTAAAAGAACTAATTTTAAATTTGCCCTTTGGCTTTAATTAAAAATCTAGCTGCTGGAAGTTTCTGGACTGTTCTTTTAAAAAAAATCAAAATTGTGGAACGACAGAATATATAGTATCAAAACTTAGTTTCTTCTAGGTTGCATCCTGTGACTCCCCATCTTTAATCACAATTGCCAGAATAATGAAAATTAAGAACCACTTATCCACCTATGGTTTGTAGAGTAGGATTTCTATTTTATACATCATTCATTTTGCATTCAAACAAAACTGGTCACAAAGAAAATTCTTGTCAAGCAAATCCTATTTTCTCCCCAGTATAATAGTCAAGATAGAATCATCTAATTGGGCCTAGAAAGGACAATCAAGACCATTTCTTTAAACTCCATGCCTTGACAATGGAGAAAAATGAGATTCCGATTGAGAAGTTAATTTTCCCAAGGCCCTCGGTTGCAGAAGAGAGAATGGAGTCCACGATTCCTAACTTCTGAGACAGTTCTTTTCCCACCTTGAGGGAGGTAAGGACTCAGATGGCAGATTTAGATGGCGATCACACCCTGTGCGGAGGACCCCAGCACCCTGCCAGGAGTTTGGGATCTCTGGCTCTCTCTTAGCATTTCTTTCTCAGTGAAGAGTCTTTCATCTCTCAGCTTGTCAGCCTTTATACATTCAAGGATCAGCATCCCCTGGTGTGTGTTCCAAGAAACAGAACTTCCATTACATACGAATAAAGGCAGTGGGGCAGGGAAAGGGTCTGGTCAATGTTGGACAGTGCTAGAGATGTGGGATGTCTGTTTGTCTTTACTGGTGATGTTCTCAATTGCTTCAATAGACCGACATGCCCGAGGAGTCTCCAAGACAAGAGTGGAACATACAACACTTCTCCAATGTATTCGTCTCTAGAACCATTTTTCTGGAGAGCTTCTCAGGATCTTACCCACCCCACAGACCCACCTTTGAAAAATGCTGCTGTAGATCACTTCTCCAGAGCCTGGGAGCCCTGACTCCCCCAGAATCTCACAGAAATATGTCTCCCCAGTTTGCTTATTGGTTTGGTACTTGGTCGTGTTGCTGGGGGGTGGGTTGGGGGTGCCTTTTATTTCTTTCTTGGCCCCAATATCTCACAGGTCTCTAACCAGGCTGTGGTAAGATTCTTCTTGAGACTCACTTTTCAACCAAAACAAGATATGCTAAAACCTGAACACCTCCTGAGTCAGAGGCTCTGGTCACCCAAGATGAACGAATATTTTCTTTCTCCTATTTTAAATCATACATAACGTCTAACTGTAGGTAACACAGTTAACTTCTAACAAAGGATAAATCTAAGCAAAGTTTCATTCATCATGAATATTGGAGCTCTACATAGTAATGAATATTTTGGTTCTGGTTTGCGTGATTTTAATGTAATTTAGAATCACATTAAGTCAAAATCATTTGACTTATAAGAATTAAATTACCAATAAACATGGGCCACAGATAACACTAATTTTTACTGCTGACATATTCCTCTGCAGTTAATCACCTGTGATTCCATGAAGCATTACAGAAGTGAAGTGTGGGAAATGGTATTGATTGGTTTTCATCAGCCCAACTTATCATTGTCAATGTTTATGCTGAACCTGGCAAGATTTAAGCACATAAACTTGCTTCTAATAGTAATAAGTG